TTCTCTCATTGGGAGGTAAGGAAAGAGATAGTGAGTACTATTTTGTTGTTATATACTATAGTTAATGTAAGATCAAAGGCACCGCCAGGTGGTATATTACACATATACACCCCGCCCTTGATATACATGGTGTACACCCTCGCATGGTTTTAATGATATTCATAGTCCCACATGGTGAAGAAATGGCTGCCTTTTTTCTTTCATTACTAAAGTGTAAATAAATTGTTTTAGTCAAGATGCATTCATGCTAATCTGGCAGAGTTATTATAACACTACACTGTTTAGTTTAGGAGTTTTTTTGAAATTGCCAATCATTAATGTTCATGGTACATAGATGTACATGTAAGTAAGTAATATGGTAGAACATAAGCTTGAACTACTAGATCTAAAAGTTTATGCCAAAGAATGACAGAACATTTGTCAAAAAATGTCACTTTTAAAAAGCTCAAAATTGCATCTGTAATTCTATACAAAAATAAAATAAAATCTACATTCCTGTCTTTGTCTTATATATTCAATAGGTATTGCCCTCTGATCCATTCTGGGTACCCTCTACTGAAATGGAATTAGAACATTATGGAGAGAAAGCAGACACTGAGAGTCAAGCAAGAATATACATGAACTCAGTGAGGAAGAGGAAAGGACTGGCAGTGGATGAGAAGATTGTTGAACATGCAGAAAAACAAAGAACATTAAAAAGAAACAAGTAATACATTTAGGAGGAGACAGGCTATATTTTATCATGATATTGAATTAAGTGCATTAATTTATCAATTTTGAGTATTCTGTTTTATTCATGCACATGTGGCAACCTACTATCAGTAGATCCAATGTAATATTGGTTTTTGTCAAGTTGCTTACCAATAAATAGGCTCACTACTGCCAGTGCTCACCATTTCATTTACACAGGTTACTGTACAGCAGTTTTTTTTTAAGGATAAGTTTTCCAAATTACATGGATTTTTGAGTTTTGCAAAATTACAATATTAAAAAACATGCATTTATAATTTTTATTTAGACATCTCAACTCCATGTCTTTATATGATTTATAATCATTTAATAGTAAAAAGTTAAAATAGGATTGGTGATGTTGGTATAGTGGTTGGGTATGGTGTAGTGGAAGTTTAAGAATTGTTGATGTATTGTTATGAGGTATTGCAATGGGTATGAGGTTGGTACATTACAATGGTGTGATAGTGATATACATGTACTTTAAAGTCATGCACTCAATGACTATTCACTGTGTGACACATCTTGCCTTCTCTTGAATCTCACGCTTTATATTTTTTAGAAATCTGACCAATTGATTATGATTATTCTCTTGTGCATAATGTAATGGCATCTCCCCCTTTTTATCAGTAGAGTATATTAGACTATTGGCTGATTCTGGATACTGACTGGTGATATACTTGATGAAATGAGTGTGACCTCTTGATGATGAATAATGAATAACATTCCAACCATTGTCATCAGTTAGGTTCAGACTATGCTTGTTATCCTTCACATATAATTCCAGTAGTAAAATATCACCAGATTGAGCAGCATAATGAATTGGTAGCATGCCATTATTGTCAGTTTGATGAGAATCTAACTGATAGGTAGTTATTAATTCTTTAACAAGAGATAAGTTAAGAGACACTGAGGCATAATGTAAAGCAGTGAAGCCATCCTTAGTAACTGCAGTAGGAGACAAACCTTGTTCAGTAATAAGATACTGAACTAAATCAAAGTTACCACTCCATGCAGCATGATGTACTAACGTGCGTCCTGCTTTATCTGTTTTATTAATATCACAACGCTGTACCTCAATGAGATATTGAGTGATATCAATATGACCGTGACGACAAGAATAATGAAGACATGTCATACCACACTTATCAGTGATATTAGGATCACTTTTATGATTATTAATAAGATATTTAACACAGTTAATGCTACCTGACTGGCAGGAGTAGACTAATGGTGTACGACCAGCAGTATCAGTATCATTAGCATTGAGATTATAATGAGATATGATATAGCTTAGTACACTAGTAGAACCTGACCAGGCAGCATAATGTACTGGAGACAATTTAGAATTATCTTCTGTACAACTGATATTATATTCTTCTAATGCTTTCACTAGTAATATACTGCCACTCCATGATGCAAAATGAAGTAATGACAGGCCACCTGTTGTAGTGGCATTGATGTTAAAGTTAGGGCAAATGCTAGCTTTATTGAGAAGTGAAGAAAAAAAATTAACTCTTTCCTTTCGTTTCATAAAATTAACATTTTGATTTATTACAGTATCATAACTATTAGTAATAAATGGTTGATCACCTTGTGCCATTAACTTGCTGTACACAGCACCAGCTGTAATTTTTATAGCTACATTACATGCTTGATGTAAACTTGAATAGCATGAGCCATTATCATTAACTAATAATGCTTCATTACCTTTAATACTAACTATATACTCAACAACTGATGATGAAGCATACCACGAAGCAATATGAAGTGGAGTCCTGCCATGTCGATCCTTTACATCAATGGATAATGGATATTTTATAAAAAGATACCGAAATAGCTGAACATTATCATGCATGCTAGAATAATGCAGTATAGAAAATTCATAAAAATCAGAGGAATCTTGTGAGAAGAGGTTCAATGATTCAAGTTTGTGGATTAATTTTAATTTTCCACTTTGACAAGCTAGCAATGACAAAGAGGCACCAACACAATTAATATGAGAAGTATTACAATTTCTCTTAATAAAGAATTCAACTAGGTCAGAATGGCCCCCCATTGCTGAGTACAGTAATGCAGTGTTATTGCTATTGTCTGGTTGATCAGGAGGAACGTCACACGTGTCTACTAGATATTTTACTATAGATAAGTTGCCTTTATAAGATGCCATATGTATACTAGATACACTATTATCATCACCTTCATTAGGATCAATACCATATTGATGGATGAGTAGTTGAAGGATCTCAAGGTGTCCACCATATGATGCAGAGTGTAGTGGAGTCCAACCATGAAGACCACGATGATATGTGCTGTAACCAAACTTGTTAAGAAGCCATTGTACTTCATCTTTTAATCCTCTCCAAGCTGCTTCATGTAATGGTGTACTGGTATTCTCATACCATAATGGATCACATATATCTATAAGTAAATTTAAATCACTGCATGTAATACTAATGTACATACCAACTTCGGAAAAACTGTGTTGTACTTGTTGTTCTGATCCCTAAAAATAAAGTAATAGAGTTATAATTATTGCAGATTACAATATTACACTATGCCTGAAATTATCTGAACATTGAATTTGAATTGGCTTAACTCTAGCGCAGAAGCATAATGCATTTGGCAAAAGGTCAAATCACCTACGCTTTTGATTAAAAATTAACACACTGCATAATCACACTGAAATAAAAGATGTAAAATATTAAGAGGCTCTACCCCATACCCATGCAGATGTACATGTGCAAACAATCAGAACTATTTCGTAAGGGCTTTGTCCAACAATTAAAGTAATTGCAAACCTCATTAATGTTGTATGAATATTCACCACACTCCAGTTTAGAGATTTCATTGATACTTGCCAGGTTTTGCAGTTGCTCTTCGTTTATAGGAAACAGTATGAAGTACAAATAATTAGGAATAAAATAATTTAGTTTTAAACACTCCTTGGACATGGTAACAGAACTGAAGTAAAGTCTGACATTAGGAATTTTGAAAGCACTAGGAACTTGGTGATAAATCATAGTGAGATCGTAAAAAGTATAATCATCTCTTTTAACTTCAATTATCATAGCTTTTGCGTCAGGAATATCAGTGAGGCCAAATGCTACAGCATCAACACATTGAATGGCCCAGCCTTCACCCATTGTGAAATAGTCCCTAATTTTACTTTCATAGCCTGACCAACTTTTTTTCAGAGATTTGTTCTTCTGAATAAAAACTTTGCCAATTTTGAGTAGCAATGAATAGTTAAACCAGGACACAAATTTTTCAAGAACATAAAACAATTGTTGCATATCTTTAATGTGATGAAATTCCTTTCTCACCAGCTCCTTGTTTTCAGGTGTTTGATCCTTTGGATTGAGTAACAACATGACTTGAACTTCAATGAAATCAATGATGTTTGGAAGTTGCTGCTTCTCAAGTGAAATTCTTGTTTCATAAAGGAGAGTGACAAATTCATCACAGATTTCTTCTAAATTAGGTAGTTGATTTGTAGCATAGACTATGAAACAAAATTAATTGTGAGTTTTTCAAGAACATATATACATGCAGATATATGTACTAGAATAATTATATCTATTATTTTCCTGGATTAGTATGAAAATCA